AGAAACAAGGAGGACACGCGAATATCAGAACTGTTATCGCAAGCTGCTGTCGCCGAATTCAATCAGGATAGAGAGCAACTAAGGCAGGAAAGCAAAAAGCAAATTCCCAAAGTACAAGAAGAAAATAGGCGCCATTATAATTTACGACGAAGAACTTCCAAATCTTACAAATAGGAGACTTAGTAGCTATCAAGAGAACCCAATTTGGACCAGGACTCAAATTATACCCTAAGTTCTTAGGACCGTATGAAGTACGGAAATTAAAAGGAAATGACAGATATGATGTAATCAAAGTAGGAGATCATGAAGGACCTTTACGAGCTTCCACATGTTCGGAATTCATGAAGGCTTGGTTGGATGTTGAATCCGAGGCGGATTCAGGGTCGGATGGCCGAGTGTAGGGTAAAATTTATTTAAATTTAGTTAACTGTGCGACTGGTTGCCTAAACAGTAGGTTGGCTTCACACACAAAAAAGCATATGACTAGGTAAGATAGAAAGAGACGGCCGTATGTTTGACGTTTGTCAAAAGACGCCGGGTTTTCCGGAACAGAGTAGTTCGTTGTACTCGGGGATGATTAAGAGACGCACAGCAGGTCAAAAGCGACGTAGTAGACGAAAAGACGCGGCTTGGCTGTAAAATTTAGAAGACGAATACGAGTTATAGATAAAGCTGTTACATAGTCTATACTTAGTGTTGTGGTGATAAGCCGAAATTCCTAAGAGTAAATGTAACCAGTAAGTTAACAGTGTGTTAGTTTGTTCAATCTCATCTATTAAACTTTTATCATTTAATACAATTTCGTGTTTCAATACCCACGTATCCACTATTTTGGAGTAAAATCCTACAATATTGACATCCTAGATTTAAATTCTGGCGATTTCGTATTGATTATAATGAACAAGGCGCAAGCAGAAATGCAAAAAAAATGGCTCCAAGACTTTATGCATCGATGGAACACATGGGTTACAATATGGATTTGAACTCATTACATTATTAGTTCTCGACGATCTGAATTAAGGTT